AGCCAATAGGTCACCATCTGACCTCCCCACAGTGAATCTGGTGTCACAGTTGGACAGTGCTGTGGTGAAAAACTCTGTGAGAGGACAGGGTGCACCCAGCTGCTTGCCCAGACCAGCACTGGATATCAGGCATGACCCTGGGGGCTGCTGAGTGTCGCTTGGGAGCACCCCAAGTAACAGTGAAGCAGGCATTTAGACCATCAAGATCTTGTGGTAAAATATGAGATCCTACCAGAGCCCGTTCTTCTTTTACTTTATTTGAAGCGTGCTTTCATCAGAATATTCCACGGTGATGTTAGTGGGATCACAGCCCTTGCTAACCCCTGCTTTTTGACTAGAGAAATACAGCTAAAACCTGTCCCATGCTTGCAAAAAGACCACTTCTCTGTTGTATACATCTCAAATGTCTGTTCTCAGCCGTGACCTCGTCTGCAAGACTTCACTCCCTAATGAGTGACACGTGGATCATTAGCAGAAACGATGATGTGGCCATCAAAGCCCTTGTGAGCATCAGCAGAGATGCAATAGTGTCTCTAGTGTACTGTTTGTATACCCTTGGGCATCCAAATTTCAAACTAGGAAAAGTAGGCCGGATCCAGCACCAATATTCTTTGCTATCACACAACTATTCCCCTTTGATCCACCCCTGCCTTCTCCGGCCTCTTCTCCATCCCCAGCACCTTCCCGGGAGGCCTGCTGGAGCTCCCAGCCCTTCTTGAGAGCTTTTCAGCTGAACGACTGTACAAATATTTTAGTCAGAAGGCTCTTCTGAAAAATTAGGCCTAACAGTTGTGTTCCCCGTCTGGGTGATGGGAGCAATTCCTGTTAGAACTTCCCACCTCTCCGGGGTGTTGTGATGAGAAGCTCATTCATATTTCCTGAGCACCCCGAGCCAAGTCCTTGAATAAAAGAGCTGCAAGGATTGTTTTAACAATATTTAGCACTTCAAAAGTTTTAGAAACACTACCTAATTTTCCCAAATGTAAAACAGCTAAAATTTGAAGGGTAATTTGCGTGCCACACCTCAACCTCTTCAGCAGCCTTCTCAATGTTCAGGTGTCTTCACACACAGTGTGTGTGTACAGTTCTTCTGGGTTAATTACTTTTTTATTTTTTTCTTTTTTATCCATGTTTTCTAACCTCCAACATGCATTTGGGTGTCATACAGATGCTCACTTAGTCCTTATATCTAAAGGAAACTACATGCCAGCAGTGCACTGACCCACTGCTCTGGGACACTTAGGAAGTGGTGAAGTAGTTAAGGAACTGAATTCCCAAATATCAGCTCAAAATACAGCTAAAGAAGTAAGGAGGACAAACGAAAACATCTCCTCTCCATGGCAATGCTTAGTGTTTCCCTTGATGTAGCTATAAAATATCTGAAGCTCCTCTGTTCCAAACTGAAGAGGTGCCAATTCTATAAACAGGTGATTACTGGCGGGAGGAGTAATGTGACATTACTTGTGTTTTCTTGCAAAAGTGTAATATCTGTTTTGTTTATGAATAGCATCTGTTCTAAGAAAGTTTCATATATCATGGCTGCAACATGCCCTATAGGACGGACAAGAGGAAAAAAATAAGCAGGGTTTTAATAGCACATCTGTGGCTAGTTAGTTATGGTAAACTTCAGGTATGTGGTGATTTCAGCATGTGTTCCTAAATACATCCCCAGCAACTGGATCTAAGACAAACGCTGTTACTGCGTTTCGGGGAATAATTAATGTACCTAGTCACTTAAAACCACACCAAAATCTGATGGAATCTGGTTGACCTCGAGGTAAAAATCACTGACACAAGATCATTTAAAGATAGAAGGCTGAAAGCTTGCAACAAGCTAGGAAGGGACGGCACGACTGCCCTGGCCCTGAGCAGCAGTGCTGATGATGGGACACAAAGCACAGAGGAGTCCTGGCGAGGGAGGCGTTCAAGCCAGAGTGAATTATAAAGGCATAAAGCAGCAATAACTTGCACCGAGCAGACCAGAACTTCCCATTCACTCATCACACAGCCATGGCCAGCAGCAGCGCTAGGGCTGAGGAGCTGGCCAGTGTGCAGCATGCGCCGTGTTTTTCCTTTTCCCCTCCCTGCACATGAATCCATCTGTATTTCCCCCATCTGGCCTGGCTCTCCTGCGTTTGTACGTTCCTGTTTTCCATGATTTTCACCCATCTCAAGAGCCCTCAGTGGCCGAGCCCTGTCCCAGAGGCTTCAGGGCTCTTTTCTCTTCTGCAGCCCCCAGTTGTATGTTTCTCTCGCAGGCACATTTAGTTCTTACAGCTGTTTTAGGTTGGGAGTGCCAAACAGAAGAAGGTCCGACTGTGGTCCCCTTCTCCAGAAAGAGCCAGGGTAGGAACATCTCCACAGGACCGTGGGCTTTGCAGGGGAGCAATGCTCCACCAGCCATGCACATTTACTGCCATCACACACCAAAAAAAAGCAGAATTGCTTTCCTCCCTCCTCTGCTTTTCCTTATCTTTGCCTTTCTCCAAGCATCCTTGCCCTTCTCCACCTGAGTGAGACCACGACCCCACCGATCTGGGCACTGAGCTGGGGAAAAACCAGAAGCTCCATCTGCTCCAGGAGTCTCCTTGCTAGCAGGCTGAGGGCAAGATGCAGGAGGGGCAAAAAAAGTCCCCAAAAGCCACATTTCTGTGGAGGGGCAGAGCCCTCGGAGCTCCCCAGCCGCAGTCCCATGTCTTCGTGCCATATACCAGTCCTCTGCTCAGCCCCCCTTACATGGGATTTGGGGCTGCAGCTGTTCACAGTCGCTAATTGTGAATCCAGCCTGAGAGAATGCCCAGATCATCTTGAAAATGATGCGATTTGCTTTCTGGTGTCAGGCCACAGGGCTATGTCCAGGTCGTGTTTTCAGGCTTTTCTCTGTAACAGGAGAGCCAGAAGCACAGGTGGCTGTTCTCTTTGTTTTAGGAGGAAAGCTGTTTCTCATTTCAAGGCCTTTTGACTTTAAGGCAACCTCCGGAGAGTGCAGGACTCCTAACAACTTTGCAGAAGTGCCATCATTCAAGGGCTGCACCTCCCTCTGCAGCCCACCACGTACCCTCAGAAGAGGAACAACAAAAATACCCCCAAACGCAGAGATGCAAACAGCACCTGGCTTTGGGGTGTGCTGCGTTGTGTGCTTTTACCGTGCTCTCTGCAGGCAGTGAACTCCCGAGGGCAAGGACATGACCCTTCCCTTCACGTTGACATTGTTCAGAACATGACACAGGCTTCCTCCTCCGGAGGGGCTGCTCCAGCTGGTGCCCCCCACCAGCTCCCAGTGCTGCAGCACTCACTCTGTGTCCTAACCCCCAACAGGGAGGTTTGGGCTCAGGAAGGAGGGATGTCAGCAGGACCATCTCTTACAGCCAAGCAAACAGCCCCGAGCTGCAGCCATGCAGATGAGGAAATCATCCTGAATTTTTATTTATTTTTTCATACAAGACAGTAGAGACAGGTATTAAAAAAACACCTCCCAATTTGCCTGTCAGCGTCAAGATATTAAAATAATAAACCTTAACTAGTGCCAGCAAGGCCTCTTTGATGGAAACCTGTGCTACCATCACGCCCACATGAAGCTGTGCTCTGACAAAACCCAGTCTTTCTGCTCATTTACTGCCAGCCACAAGGCTTTGCTGTGGGCAAAATACAGGGCTACCTGACCAGCAAAGCTGCGGGAGCTGCACGGGTGCCCCGCAGGGCGGGAGGTGAGGTGCTGCACGGGGTCCTGCTGCAGGTCCCCCTGCCACCAGACGTGCTGCCCTTGGGGATGCTTCGTTTGCCAGTGGCTGCAGGCACAGAGCCTCGCTGCTGGAAGGTGAAAGGAGATGCCTGAAGAAAAGCAGGACAATGATGATTACACCGAAAGCAGGGCACCAGGAACCTGCACCTGGTTCTGGACTCTCCTGCCCAGCTCCTGGAGTTATCGCTGAACTTCCAGCCCCTGCTTCCCCACTCTTCGCCAGAGCATGTATTGAATAGGGCTCTGTTTGTGAACATGTGTGAAGTGCTTTGATGGCCTAGGGTAAAAGTCAATTAAGACATGGCGAGCAGTTGGCAGGCCCAAGGAATTGCTGAAGTAAATGATTCACAAACATACCCTTTCCAGAGCATCATTAAACTGAAGTAGATTTTCAAATGATTCACCTGTTTCTCAAGGCTGACTAAATGATGGGGAGTGAAGAGGTGGGGAAGCAGGCAACCAATAATGCTTCAAAGTGTGACAGTGAAAACCATGGCGAGGACGAGCCCTTTGGGCATGCGGTCTGCCCAGGCCAGCAGACGTGGCAGCTGAAGAAGGACGTGTGCTGATCCCTCTCCCTCTTTGCTAGACTCTTTCTGCAGCTCATCCCCGTGCAGGGAAAGTTGATATTTTCCATCAAGTGCCCACATGGGAGTGTGCTCCCTGCAGGGCTCTGGGGCCAGGCCCTTCTGTGTCACCTTCCCGGAGGGATGTACAGGTGCTGGACGTGTCCCCAGCTCCCGGTGAGCAGGCTTGTGCTGGGTGGGCTGCAGTCATAGAATCAGGGAAACATTAAGGTTGGAAAAGACCTCCAAGATCAGCCTGGTCCAACCATCGCTCTACCACCACTATCACCCACTAAACCATGTCCCTGAGCACCAGGTCCAACCTTTCCTTGAACACCCCCAGGGACGGTGCCTCCACCACCTCCCTGGGCAACCCGTCCCGGTGCCTGACTGCTCTTTCTGAGCAGAAATATCTCCTCATTTCCAATCTAAACCTCCCCTGGCGCAACTTGAGATTCTCTCTAGTCCCATCACTGGTTATCTGTGAGAAGAGCCCGACCCCAGCTCCCCACCCTTCCCTTCAGGCAGCAGCAGAGAGCAATGAGCTCTCCCCTCAGCCTCCCCTTCCCCAGCCCAAACCCCCCCAGCTCCCTCAGCCGCTCCTCACAGGCCTCCCGCGGCCGCTCCGCCCCGCTCCTCCCGTCCCATCCCAGCCCGTCCCAGCCCATCCCAGCCCATCCCAGTCCGTCCCAGTCCGTCCCAGCCCATCCCAGCCCGTCCCGCCCCGTCCCGCCCCGCCGCGGGTGGCGGGCCCCGCAGGCTCGGCGCCTCCCGGCTGCCGCGGAGCGGTGAGTGCCGGGGGGGGGGGGGAATACGGGCATGGGGTTGGGGGAGCTCGGGGACGAGCTGCAGGAGGCTGTGGGGTCGCCCTGCACCTGCTGGGACCCCTCGGTGAAAGGGGGGTCCGCCGGCAGCCCCCCAGCTCCCCCGGGGAGGTTTGGGGGGGGCCGCTGCTGGAGCAGCCCGCAGGGGTCCCCGCGGTGCGGGGTGGCTGCAGGGGGGGAGCAGCAGCAGGCTCCCCTTTGGGGGTCTGGGCTCGTGTCTGCACGGCAGTTGTTGGGGTCTGGTGGTTGGTTTCCATTTTCCCTGTCCCAAAGCGCTTGCTGTGACGGAGGGGATCAGCGCTGCGGTGTCAGAAGGGGTCTGCGCCCGTATGGCACTTGGGTATGGGCTCAGGATTACAAGGGGCGGCCTCACTCTGTCCCTAGGTCCATGCCAGTGGGCTCTTGCATCTATTAAATATTTTTTTTCCTTTTTTTTTTTTTTCTCCCTGTTTTGTCAAGAGTTGAGAATAATAGCTTTTTTTTTTTCTTTTTTTTTTCTTTTTTGTGTGTCGGGGACCCTGCATGTTGAGTTACCCCAAGTGCAGATATGATCTAACTGAGCGCTCAGGCTGATCCGCACAGGCAAGGCGTTAAACCTTGGCCGGTGACGATGAGAATTGTGCCCTGCGAGAAGCATTCAGCTCTGCTTCTTCCCGTGAGCTGCAGCGTTTTCTTCTCATTGCTTCAAAAGTTCTGGTTCTGCCCAGAAGGGCTGCTGCTGCTCGTGGGGAGCAGGCACGGGGAAAATAGCAACCTTCCAGCTTCAGACCGAAAACGATGGCATTAATGACAGAGAAGGGCTGTGCAGTTAAGGGATGCAGCCGCTGCGAGAGCCTCAGTTTGTCCCAGCGCTTCCAGTTTGTAATCACCGAGGCCAGACCTGCCCTACCCTGTCATGTTCTTGCAGTTATACAGCACGCCCAGGTACGTGGAGGAAAAAGTGTGGTCCTGCCAGCTAGCCCCTTTGCTGAGGATGCTGAGGGCAGCAGGAGTAAGGAGAGGACCTAGGCAGGTTGCTGCCCCGGGCAGCTCCTAGCCCTGGAGGCAGGATGCTCCCTAGGGTGTCCCACCGGGCACAGCGTGCTGCAAAATGCCAGCTCAGGCTGTTGTTTCGAAGGTTCGGCCCCATTTCTGCATCCTTTGCCTGGTGATGTTCATGCTTTCTCCTTGCTGTGTGTTCACCAGCTCCTAGAAAATACTGCTCGTTCAGAGCCTGCCTGGCCGTGTGTGTCCAGTGGCATGTCACACTGCTATATTGTTCTTTCGATGCATAATTTCACTGGCCTCTTGTGACCTAAAAAGCACACAGAAAATAAACAAGGGCATATTGTTCAGTGGGAAGGGTGCAGAAAATCTTCTGCCCTTCGCCGCCTGGGTAGGAAAAGGTTACTTTTAAGCGTTGCTCCTGATTGCCAGAGAAATGACATGGCACATGTGGGCTTGGTTTTTGCCAAGCAGACTTTATTTGGGAGGTGATGCATTTCTGAACTTCTCGGTCACCTTGGAACTAGTTGTGACTGCAGAGCAAAGTCCTGTCCAGATCTTCTAATTAATTTGGCCAAAGGCCATCCTAATTAACCTTGAGGGAGTTCAGGGGTGGGAGAGCTTGGTATGAAACAATTGTTCTCTTGTAATTTGCTTTTCACAATGTGTCGACCCAAACAAGAGCTGCATCTCTAAAATCCTCTGGGTCTCTTGCTGAAGCCATTACACCAGTTTATTTGTTTTTTAACAGATGTTGTTTTTCACTGCTTGAGTGGAAAGGGTTATCTCACTTTCTGCAACCTTGCTATTGTGCTTTGTTTTAAGAGCCAGTGGACTGGGGCTTGCTGGGGAAGCTTACTCACCGGTTCCAGCGACAAAGGAAGGGGCTGGTCAGCCTTCCAGTGGTCTTGATGTGGTCGTTAAGGTCTCTATGTGAACGGATGGCATCTTTTCACATCTACGTAGAGATAACCCGCAGTTCTTCTGGTATTGGCAGTGCCTGCAGAGAACAAAAATGGGCAGCAGACTCTTTGTCGCCCAAGTGTATTGCAGTTGGGATATTAATAGAAGTCGTCAGACATAACTTGGACCATCTCAGATGGTGGGGCAAGGGAAGGGAAAATTTACCAGCCATTTCTGAAGCTTTAGGATAGGTCCTCTTACCCCACCACGCTGCTTGCTGCTGGACTTTTTGGTCCCTGGGGCTCTGCGCTAGGGATCTGTGCCGCCTTTCACCCCTCTGTACAGTACCCTACCAGTGTATAGGAGAGGTGCCTGTCTTACTTTTTTTTCTAACACTAATGCTCTCAAGTGCTACTTGGCTTTTATTTTCTAGTAGTGCAAAGGGTCGGGGGGAAATCCTGCTGAGACTACAAGGCAGGACACACAGACGCAAGAAAGGAAGATCAAAGATGTCTATAATACAGGAAGAAGCAAAGGGTCAATCCAGAAGAGAGGGCACTCAATTATACATACAAGGGTAATATAAAAGGGATAACAGCACAGGAGAGGATGGTAATGTCTGAAAATGAGTAAACAAACAGACGTGTAAGGCTACGCTGAGAATTTATTTACCCCAGCAGACACAATCCTTATCTCTTTGAAAGAGGAGAAGACCATGCCAAGCCTGGAGCGCCTCCACTCCCAGCCTCAGTTGTGAGCGGGAGAAAGTGTTTGTTTGCGGATCGCTCCTCCGTGAGCCCTGGCCTGATGGGCCGGCCCGTCCTGCTGTGATTAGTAGGATGCTAATGTGCGTAATCCTTTTGATCACAAAGCCCAGGCTCTGTAAGTCATGTCACCGTCACCTCAAAGACATTCGGCCCCGTGATGGATCCCTTATTAGAAATTTTTACTTACAAACATTCAATACAGTTATTATTGACATCCTTTTTTATTTTTTATTTTGCATTATACAAATGAGAGTGTTTCTGTTAAAAAACAATTACAAAAAAAATAAAAGCTCACGCAGTTTTAGTGTGGGAGTTGCTTATTAGCACTTTGCCCACAGGTATTTGAGGTGAGATGATTAGCCCCTAGCAGCCTGATTTTAGGATGTGAACAACAAATGTGATTACATTTGCTTTGTTCCACCACAACCCTGATGGATCTCTCTGTACAGAAGTGTCATAACTGCACGGAAACATTCGTCTGGGTTTTAAAAAATATTCTCTATTGCTCCTTTTGGGCAGGGAAAGAGTTAGCTAATTACGCTTTGTTTAATAAATGTACTATTTTGTTCTCTTCTTGCGACAAACAAAAGCTGTCATTTGGGGAAATATACCATATGCTGCCAATTGGTCTAAGAACTCGTTATATCTGCCGTGCAGAGTAGCAGCGAGCGCTCTTTAACAATTGCTCCTTCTCTGAAGAAAATCTGGACGGATTTCAGTGCAGCAGTGTGCAGCTCTGTCCTCGGTGGGAGCGAGCTGTTGACGTTTTGAAAACCAGCTAACACGAGCAGTGGTGTCTGTGCATGCCTGGACGTTTCCTCTCCCCGTTTCTGCCTTTATTTCTCTTCGGATGCTTCGGAGCCTGAGCAAATGAATGCTCAGTCAGCGCTGGGTTAGGCTACAGCAAATTTAAAAATCAGCACTAGCTCAGCTCCAACCTCCCAGCCACGCACCATCGGACACGTATTTCATCATCATGTGAACCCAATACTCAAACACCCACAGCACTTAAAAAAAATAAATCTAGCTCTTTGCCATTTTTTTCTTGGCAAATCCAAGAAGGCAAGCCTCAAAACCTGACCTGAAACCCAGCAGAGGGGGAGAGCAGCAGTCACTCGTTACGGCCTCCCCCAGCGGAGGCGGCGCTCGGTGCTCTCTCTCATCCCCTGGTGGGTTTGCTGATACATCTGTGCCAGCGAGATAAAAGACAGGAATAACTACCTTCTTCCAGATAGATAAACTCTTTAACACTCACTCCTCTCCTCCTCCCCACTTCCTAATTTTATTGGAGCCACCTTGGATCATTCATTTACTCTCTGGCTCGGCTCCTTGGTGATTTCAGTGAGGACTTCTTGCTCGAAGGCTGCAGAGAGGACGTGAGCTATAATTTTCCCTTTCTGTGAACCTCTGTGTTACAGAAAAAAAATGTGAACCCTCCTGCCCATAGGTAATGCGGATTAAACACAAAATTCAGAGATTTCTTTTTCGTTTCTGTGAGGTAAATGAGAGAGACTCGCTTGGGAAGGCCTGTGGAGCCGCCCTAACACTGAATTATCTCCCAGCAATGACTGTGGCACGTCTTCACGTGTGCTCAGCAGAGGTGATTTTGCATTTAGTGGCTTTGAAACCCTTGGTGTGGTGTTAGCTGTAGTGGGAATGGCCTTGAAGCTCTGTCTGGTGCTGTGTGTCCAGATCTGACCCCAGTCCTCTGGTCGGGACCCGTCCTCGTGCCTCCGCTTGGGTCATCTGCTGCCCTCTTCTGTGTGCAAGCTCCTTCAGCGTGTGGTGATTTTTGTGCCTTGTGCTCGTTTTGGGACTTCACGTCCCAAAGAGCCGTGTGCTGGTCCTCCTCATCTGCATGAGGCTCGCTGGTGGAGGCACAATGGCGCTCGTGTGAGGGTAGGCCCCTAGGAGAGAGTGGAGGCCAGCAAGCTGCAGCTGAGGAATCAAGAGGGAAACAAGAAATACGTCGTCTAGTCAAATATTCAGAATTACAGGTGTGGGGCATTTCAACAAAACAATACCTTTGGGGTTGGGGGTGGGAGGAGGGTGGAGGAATGTCAAACTGTTTAGTTTCTGTCCCAAATCCCTTGTGTCCAGGTCAGGATCTGCTTTATTTCCACTGTTGCTGATAGATGTCCCTTCAGCCTGTTCTCGAAGACCATTGTTGGTGGAGATTTGTAGCTTCCCAGTGTCTGACTATCCTCATGGCTAGACAGTCTCTCCTGATGCCTAACCCAAGCCTCCCGTGCTGCCTGCTGAGGCAATCCCTTCAGGTTCCTACATCAGCAGGGAGCGGGACAAGATTAT